TGACGGTAGCTTAAGCTGTACGTTAACATGTTGATTGAGATATGATAATATTTTAAGATTATGGAATTATATTCTAACATATATTAGTCAGCATGTTAACGTCTAACTTAAACTGCCATCAATTTTTTAATGAAAAAAGACAAGTTTGGAACACAATGAATATTTGGACGACAATTTTGTAACTTTTAATAATCAAGGGACTGAAAAAAGCTATGTCTTATAATTGGGGGAACATTTTGTAACTTTTAATGATCGTAGAAGTCATTAGAGTAATATCCTATAATAGATGGACCATTTACGTACTTTATCCAAAATATTATTGCGATACTCGTTCACTGTTAACTTGGCAACATTACCATTTTCGTTCAAAATGCGAATAGAAAAGACGAATTGTTCATTGAGCAAATTCATCGAGCACATGGTGGCATTTCACAATAATGGCAGATCCCAACAGTCCAAAGACAAAATCATTACTCCAACAAATCGGTGTAAACAAAAGCTTTTCCATAAATATAATTTACACACACACAAGAAATACTCTTTTTTGTTTGTGATTTTCGAGTTACAATGACTGCAATGTTCTGATGAACAAACGCATCTGGTTCAACTCGGAGAGAAGTTCTACAGAGTGGGCAACTCGACTAGGCACTGAGCCACCTATCAACACTCGGGATGATAGCGATGGTGACAATAAGGCAAGACCTTAACTTTCTCACCATCATCAAATACTCCAAGGCATACACAACACTCGCTCCCGCGCGTCGCCGTTGTTATCGGCAACACAGTGATTGTTTCAGGATTCAGACCTCGAGGCTGCCGCGACGGAGGCGCGTGGGAGGTCGGTGATGGTCCGTGTGGATGAAGGGAGCTGCATAGCCACCGAGCGGAGATGAAGATGAGAGCGAAGATAAAGACAATGGCAAAGAGGACGACGGTGAAGAAGATGGTACGGCCGTGGATTTGGAACAAAAAGTTGAACCATATATTCAGCTTAACTTGATTTTATGAACTCGATTTAAAAAAAATCAAATAAAATTTAAATGATAAACTAATAACTATAAACTCGAATTTACTCGATCCGATCGAATAATCATCGCTAAATGTATCTGCAAGGGTTACAAATAAATGCGGCTTTAAAAGTTGCTTCCGCCAAGATTGTTGCAACTGGAATATGAAATACAATTTGTGATGATTGTTGACCTATTTTTCCAGGTGAAAAGCAAGTAACAACAAAGAAAAAACTCAATTCACCGTCGATTTGTTTCAAAAATTCCGCCGGACGCTGGTGTAAAGTCCAAAACTCTGTCTCGTGCAAGAGGAAGTAAGCCAAACACCGGTTTTCGTTCATGCCGGACACTGATATAAAGTCCGAAATTCTATGACGCAGGAGAAAAAGTAAGCCAGGCACCGGTTTTTGCCTGATCATGGTCGAACTTCTTCAGAATATAACAGTAGTTAAGCTGGACCAGAAAGGAGGAAAAATTGTGTTAGATACAAAATGCCAGCTCCCAGACTTGGTAAAAACATGAAACAAACATAACAATGAAAAGCACTGTGAAAAAAGTTAACGATTCGGAACTCGAGCAAATAACATAAAATCGACCAATTATACCATGTCTTTCTGTATCTATATGCTGGATGTTCCACGAGAAACAGATCTTAACAACCCATCTCGACTACTTTCAGTATAAATTTCTTCCTTGATAATAGAATCGATTGAAACGAAAGGCAAACGCAAAATGGACCTATGTGAGCAGTCAAATATTCTATAGTCGAAAGGAGACTGTCCCAAGTTCAAATTCCCCACCCCGACCTATCCATCGGAAATTGTTTATGATATAATATATTCAGAAATATAAAATTGAAGACTGGCATCTAAAGAAATATCAATTGCTTTGATTGACCATAAGAGAATGAGAGAGAACACAAACCTCCATTCGGAATAAACTTGTAGGCACAACAAGTCCAACTCCTACTGAACTTCGAAGTGACCCTACAAACTTCTGAACAGAGAAATTGCGGTACTCGTTCTCTGTTAACTTGGCAACATTACCAGCACATGCGAACACATGAGCATGGATTCCCTTTTCTCTAAACCACCTAAAAGGGAGATCAAAAGAAAGGTCTGCCAAAGCAGTGACAGCAAGGTCTCCTCCAAGAAAATCCACGCCAGAAGGACCGGTATTTCCATCATTAACCTGCCTTTTACGCTCTGTTGGACCCAATCCCCTTGTCTTAAATCCCCATAATGATGTTGGCCCTCCTAAAGCACAAACTGGAGATATGTTGCCACCTAAGAAGAATCTTTCTGGCAGTGATGACGGTTTACTCAAGAACCCGTCCCCCCATGGAAAGACAACACCACCAGAAACCCCAAAATTAAGAGCAGCATGGTAAAATCCAATAGGAACAACGTACCGAAGATCAAATTCCTGTCACAAAACATCAATGGAAAAGAATGACAAACAGCAATTCTGACAAACATGTACAAGCACATGATTGTGAGAAAAAACAAAGAATGCTTGGGGGGTAAAAGAGAAGCATGCATAATTCATACCTGCCGAAGAAATCGTAAGCTCCGACTATCAGGTACAAGCCCACCAAGTTGAGTGGTAGAAACAAAAGCATAACCCCAAGTTGGCCGCATTGACGAATTTCTCCTGTCAAATTTGAAGGTATACTTCAAAGAAGAGAGTAAATTATGGCCAAGCTGCCTCCTTACGGACCTCGATGACATTTGTGATGGATCAGTTAATGTACGCCATGCAAGATTGTACGCCACATCATGATGTTGACTTGAAAATAATCCAAGAGAAAGGCCCATTGATCGCTCTTTGTACGAAGAAAACTTTAGCCAATCTTGTGATAGTAAGTATGCTCGTGCTGTGACAGGAGTTACCAGTCCTTTAAAGCGTGGCAAATACACGCCAGCACTTAACTCAGCTGAGTGACCGATGCCATATGCCAATGAACCATCCCAAAGATCCCCATAACCAAACAAATTTTTGTACTTGACAGATCCTTCCACTGTGGAAGATCTAGCCTACAATGGCATTTTACAAATTTAGAAGCTCAAATTCAAGACTGCCTACTTATAAATTCACAGAACATGGGCGATCAAACGGCAGAAGGAACAGCATTTTCCATATCAAAGCTAGAATGAATATTATGATCATGGATGCCTCTAGTTTATTTGCAATACCACATTTGATTGGTCGCATGTAGACTAAATGAATAACTATATAGATAATTACATATCACGCATGGTATAAATATCAGACATATGGAACAAAATGCATCTTCATTATCACATTGGAAATAACTTACTGACAGCAACATATATGCAACCTTATCGGCTGCGTATCTTTTCTACTCTTTCATCCATCTAAACCTTCAATATAGATGAATAATGCAGCCATGTAAATCCTCTAATTCACGATATTTTCATTCATTACATCATCGTTATTCCATATACTAGGTCAGCTTAAACGAACGTGTTCCTCTCCACAAAATCTAATCAACTATGTTGCTCAGGCTCTTCATTTTTCTTCAAGTATCGAACAAACATCTGGACGTGAGCATGGGATTCGACTCACCAAAGACATAACCGAGTCAGACAATTCTCGTATTCAACAGAAACAAATTCATAAAAATTGAACATACCCATACTGAACATGCAAGAGTCCAAGTAACATAGCTAATTAGCACATTATATTAATTCGACAACCACATTTTCATTACAGCATATGAAACTCAAACTAAATTCCATTCCAACTATTCATATCCTTCATTTAACTCGTGTCTATACAAAACCACATTGCAATTAATTTTCCTCCAATTTCTCAGTAACCAAACATATATAATTAAAAAAACGAATTACAGGGAAAAATAAACCTTCAAAAAATTAGATTAAAAAAGAAATTCACCTCCGCTTTCGTGTAAGCTCCAATCTCTCCCGAAAGCGGGCTGGCAGTCTCAACTACCTCGATAATCACATTAGCAGTTCCAGGCAGTTCGGGCGGACCGGAATCGAGCGTGATTTTTACGGAATCAAAAATTTCAAGTGACTGGAGCCGCAAATTCACAATCTGCGACGCTTTTAACAGCTCTTGCATCGAGCCGGCGTTGTTCAACACCTCTGTCTCGGCTTCAATTATATGCTCCTTTGTTTTCGTGTTCCCTTTGATGATGACGTCATGGACGCGGACCGAAACCGGACCGGTTTTCATTCGCTGCATCAGCGAGTCCATTTTGAGTTTCTCCGAACGCAACCGAGCCTCCCGTGATCGAGGTATAGTCCGGTTCGGTCCTCCGAATCGTCCGTCGTTTTCGTCCTCGTCATCGTCTTCGACGTCGTTTTCGTCACCGCCGTCATCTTCTTCTTCGTCGATTTCGTTGGTGTTCAGGGGTTTTTGGTGTTCCGGGTCGGATTTCGAATTCGGCGGAGTCAATTCGGGTACCGAATCGGGGTTTGACATTTGTGAACGGATAACAAGGGGAACCTTCGAGTTTGCAAAGCGAAGACAGTGAAGTTAGGAGGCGGGCGGCGGTGCCAGGGGTTTTGGATGTTAAAAGGTTTATTCGGGAAGATTTTGATTTTGCTAATATGCCCCTTTACTTTTTCTTATTTAATCCTTTGTCACCGATACTTTTGATATTGATTGATTTAGCATTTCAAGGGATAATCTCATTCATTTATGAATCAAATTAGGATAAAGATACATTTTGGTGTATGAGTTTAACTTTAAATTTTAATATGATATTTAATTATTTGAGTGTAATTGTGATAATATTTTTTATTTTATTTTTAATTAGATCTTTATTTTATCTAGTAAAAATGAATTATATATATAGATATAGTATGAATTTTGACTTAAAAATCAAATCGAATTTCGAGTTAGATGAGATGCTCGGAAATTCGAATTTGATCAAATGCAAATAGAGAGATTTAGTTTTCAGGTAAGTACACGGTAGTAATGTTCAAAGATAACTCTCAATCATATACATATACAACAAATTTCCCATTGATCTAAGTTAAATACAACCAGTGCTGATCTGCAGGAAAGCTTCATTTTGCCTTTCCACCTATATTAAGAGAAAAAAAATCAAAGTTTCCTGTACCTACAACATCAACTTCATCCCCCAGCTTCTTGCTTCGGTGGACATAGTCTCCAGCTCTGCCCCACCTAAAAGGAGAAAGTTTCGGGATCACACCTTCGGGCGTAATTGCATTGATCCCTCACAATACCGGGACCAGGTTCGGGGTGGACACAAGATTTAATCACCTCTCCGATTTTCTCCACTTCATCTACACCAAAAGGCTCGTCTTCCTCACAATACCGGGACCAGGTTGGGAAATTTTTTGTGGTTGATTTTCAATAAAACTAGAAATAGTTGGACAAACCAACAACATCCAATACTAACAATCGAGTCCGGGTGATAGAGATGGATGTTTTCAGTACAATAACTTCTTTCCGAACTGTGTTTCTAAATTCTTTGGCCAATCTTCAGCAGATTTCACCAGTACGGAGGCCACAGAAATTTCAATCCCACTAGACAATGTGCCTTTGTACACAATGGAAACAGTTGAAGAACTAATCACATTGCTGAAATGTTCACAGGCTGCTTCCAGCTCTGATCTCTTCAGAGTCGGTACGCCTGAAACGCAACAACTATGCTATTCGAATCCAGGTATTGTTGGATACGGATATCCGCTTGGGTATGTTCAGTTTATTCCAAGTTTCTTTTTCATGCATTTGTGTAGCATACTTATGCATGAAAATGTGTCATACACAAGTTTAAGACATGAATCTTTTAAGAAATACGGTGCATTCGAGCCGAAAAGGTCTTTAGGCTCCCCAAATATAATAGAAGGCTATGAAACGTATTGGAAGACTATGAGAGGTTTCAGAAGGTTACTTCAATGAGGTCTTTTTGGTTTTTCAAATCAATTTCAGCTCTTCTGCTGCAGCTCATTAGCACATTTTCAGATACATTTTGACCCATTCAAAGCCAACTCAGTCCAATTCTACGAATGAAGTGCAGTCGATATCCTGAAGAGTGATTTTACCCATGTATAAATCGTTTATGTGATCGGGACAGAGAGGCAAGCATATTCGATTCAAAGTTTCATGAATAATACCCATACCCTTAACCCACTGAGCTTCGTCGAGGGGATTCAAATTCAGATAATTTTGCAGTAACCTAACCCTATACGTGATTGTATCAGTCCTACCACAGAAATGAGCAACACAAGAATGTGATAGCTCATCGGATGCCAATCTGATCAAAGCCAAAGATATAGCCCCATCCACCGGTTTCGGGTCTGAAAGATTTTGATCACCCATCATCTTAATATCCCTCTCAGTAGGGAAGTAAACTTCTTCATATCCATTTATATTCGAGACTTTCAAATCTTTACTGTAATGTTTAATTGCTTCAAGTTTGGTGGATTCATGCTTGTGTGCCAATGTTAAAATACAGGAGAACCTCAAGTGATAAGAAACAACTGTTTTCACCATTCTGAAGTTGTGACAACAACAGAAGAAATCCAGCCATCTCCTTCCAACACCAGCATACCACTTAATGATATCAGCATCTTCCAATGCGAATAGTAAGTCGATTGGCCTGGGACGACCCATATTATTTGTAAAACCCGCCATTCTAACAGCCTTCCTAACAAGTTCTATAGGAGCTGAAACCTTCATACACAACTTGGTCAGATCATCTACCATGCGCTCAGAATATTTCTGTTCCTCTTCTTCTCTTACCCTCTTTTCTTCTTCCTCCAATACCATTCTTGCTTTGGTAGGGGCCAAATGCTTGTCAACTTGTTCTTGGAACTTGTCATAAGCATCAACAAGATCTTGTGGCAACTGATCTCTAACATGTCTTAAAGATAAAAAATCACCTCTAGAGAGCAGCCGATACCAGTTCCATCTTTCTTCCAAGGACCCCAAGAACTCTCGGACAACTTCATCTGCCCAAGTCCTAAAGATTCCTCTAACCTCCGAGTTGATTTGATATTCAAATTTAAACCCATCTTTACTCTGCTTCAACTTCTTAAAGACATGACTCAATATTTTCAAACCCAACTTTTTCCTATTCCTCTCCCGAGCATTCCTCAATTCTAGAGCTTTAACTTCCTTCTGTCTAAGATACTTCTTCTTCGCTCTTATTGCCTTTTCCGACATAGGGGGATGCAAGACAGAAGGAAGAACAGCCTGCAGCTCCATCCCCAAAAACATAATCTTCTCCGATACCGCACTGTGGATGGCTGTTTTAACTCTATCGACCTTCAACCCCAAATCCCTTTCCAAAACATCCAAAACACGGTCCTTCAACTCCCTCGCTAACACCTTCGACCCGGACGTAGTTATCAATATCTCGTCCAAGTACCTAACTGCATAAATTTTCACCGGCTTATAGAAAACATTCGTGTTACTGAAGTCATGCTTAGTTAACTCAATTTTAGAGGTCCTCTCATTCACTCGAAGTCTCATTTCTTGAAATTGTCGATCAAACCTATGAAGATAAACATTAATCAAAATCGAACACAAGCCGCTTTCTTGAGGAAGCCCTCTCCCTAAATAACACCCACCAAATTCAACTCTAACCACTCGACATTGAAACAACGTCTTTATCACATCAATCAACAAATCATCCCTAATTTTCTCTCCAATAAACGCACACAACTTATCGACATTAAACTCACCAAACTTGTTAGGAAAAAAGGAAACATTAAACCACCAGCTAGGGTTTGTTAAATTGTTCTTTAAGTACCTAACGGCAGTATGTCTGCCCATTCCAACACGACCCCCATAAGAAAAAGTCACGAACTTCTCATCATAAACGATTTCTAACACCATCCTAATAGCTTCGATCAGAACTTTTAGTTTCAAATTCGGTAAAACCAAAGGCTCACCTGAAGAACTTGGGGGCTCCATTCTGACACAGCAAGAGGGGATATCGAACTTGTTATGGGAAATTTCATGACCCATTTCTTCGATCGAGAAGTAGTTGGAAACATGGGTACGAAGCGTCGTGGATGATGACGACGATGAATGGGAGAGGTTTTGGCAGGCGGTGAGAAGAACAGAGGGTGAAGCGACGACGTTTCGGAGTAGATTGGAGAAAGTTCCATGGGAGTATTGGCTGAGAACTAAGGATTTGAGGTGGGAATCTGTCAAAGTGTGGTTCGACAATGGCTTGAAGGGGATTGAGAAGGGACGAGGACTAAGGCCAGTGAATGTTTTTAGGGTTTTAAGCATCGAAAATGGAAAAATTGATACCAGAGTGACTAGTGGCTAGGGAGGGATTCAGATAGAAAAGAAAATGACGAGTATAAATTAGTTTTGGAGTTTACAAAAATGGAATTGAGATGAGTTTTAAAAGATATTAAAACATATCAAATTTATTAAATATATATTTATTTTTAAATCTTTTACCGGCATTTAATTTAATTTACGGGATTTTTACTGTTTTGTTAAATCATTCATCACTGTTTTGTTGAATCAGTCATCACTGAATCATACAGAGATGCGAAACAAACGCGCTGAATGCTGAACGGTTCAACATTCAATATTAAATGATTCCATTAAGAGACAAACAAACAGTCCCTTAACGTCTTTAGATTCAGATGAATATTCATTTGTATAAAAAGACTTTAGAAGCCAAAAATTTACAGGCATTGTACAGAAAGATTCTTGCTATAAGAAGTTGCCTGGGATATTCTGAGATACTTCCAATTTGAGGATCCTTGAAGCACGTCTTTGCTTTTCGTCTCATTTAGTTAAAAACTTAACACGTTTAGTATTTAAAATATTAATTTAGGTCCGTTTTAGTACCTAAACTTTTAATTTCTTTAAAACTTAACGTTAAATTTTGAACGAGTTACTAAAATAAAACAGAAAATAAAGTTTTTAATGACGAGCACTAAAATGAAAGAAAAATTAAACTTCAGCTATGATTTTTTTAAAAAAAATTGAAAGTTTAGGTATTAAAACGAGTCAATACTGATAATTTAGGTGCTAAACACATAATTCATCCACAAATTTTATATATTCGATAAATTTTAGTTTAATATAATTTTGGTTCATATAAAAATAAGTATTCAAATTTAAAAAAAATACAAATTTATTAATTAAATAGGGGATGAACTAAAAAAGATCCAATGTTCTCAAGTTTTTTGATTTAATAACAATTTAGATTATTGTAAATTTAAATATTAAACAAATTAAATATTATTTTCTAAATTTTGAGTTTAAATACTTAATAAATTATTATATTTTTCTGAAAAATCTAATATTTTAACCTTTACGAATATTCAATCCTTACTCCGTTCCTATTTATACTAGATATAATATCGATGAGAAAAATCATATATTAATTATAAATTCAAAACAATATATTAAATACAAAACTATTAATTTATATCAATATTCAGGAAGTCCATGTTGGACTTTGTACATTTGTGAGTGGTCAATACGTCTGGACTGAACTCCGCCAAGTCATGGTCCCATTTCGCGGGGGAGCTCCGACTTTTAGGCTATTCGAGACACCAATTTTCTCTAATATCCATTTTCTGACACCGTTTGACCAATATTTTTCGAAGTAACATCTTTTTTGTTGAGTTGGTGAAATGCGCGTCTCCGGGGACGTATTTTATCCGTATTTTCGTTGAGTTGGATGCCACGTGTGGAAGGCGCATTCCCGAGGACGCGCCTTCCATTAAATGCCATAAATACCCCCATCCGTTTTCCCTAATTACCCCCTCCTCCCCTATATAAACCCCCTCAATCCTCCCTCATTCTTCACACCAAAATCATATTTTCCTCTCTTATATAACTCAAATTCTCCAACTATTTGAGTTTTAAATTTGTTATTAGTGGTAAGAAATTTATTTTTATGTTAGTATTTTTTAAAATAGTTATTATATTTTATATTAATATATTTATGTAAATATTATTTTTTATTAAAATAATATTTATATAATTATTATTTATTTAGAATTATTAACTTTTTTTTGTTAATTATATTGTTTTGTCTACAGTTATAATGGAAAACGAAATGCTGTTGCGATTGGATATTGATCATATCTCCAGACATTTTAGCGATATGGTAATATTTTTTATAATTAATGTTAATATTTAAATTTATTTTTATTTTAAAGTTATTATGAATTTATATTAATTTTTATTTTTATAATGTATATTATTTAGGATACTGATCGTATTTTAGAGACTTTTATTAAAAATTCACGTATACCGACACCGGAACGTATTTTGCCATATTTGACTTCTGCCGGGTTCGGGTATATTGCAACAATTATAGGCGGTTGCAAACTCGAACCTGTCCTAATTTCTGCACTGATTGAGAGGTGGAGGCCCGAGACACACACTTTTCGCCTTCCATGTGGAGAGGCCACAATTACATTAGAGGATGTCTCTATGCATCTGGGGCTTCCCGTCGACAGAAATATGATGTGTGGTATGGCGGATGGTGATTGGCAATCAATGTGCATTGATTATCTTGGAGCTGCTCCGCCAGAGTTTAATGGAGGTAGAATAGTTTTATCTTGATTGAAAGCTAATTTTGAGGTTTTAAATGAAAATGCTTCAGAGGATCAAGCAAAGGCATGTGCTCGGGCATATATTCTACGAATAATTGGAGGAATATTGATGCCCGACAAATCTCGCAACCAGGTGCATTGTATGTGGTTGCGGCATCTGATCGATTTTGATGAAGCTGGAAGATATAGTTGGGGCGCTGCAGTTTTGACATTTCTCTTTAGAGAAATGTGTCGGGCGACGAATTATAAGAAAACTGCTATCGGTGGATGTCTTCTGCTTCTACAATCATGGGCGTGGTTCCGCATGTCTTTCTTATGCCCGATCGTGAATGAACCATACGTATTCCCCTTATTGTTGAGGTAATTTTCGAACTAAATTTTGATTTAAATATTTTCAATTAAATAGGGTTATATTTAGTTTATATTATAATTCATAGGTGGTCAATAAAAAGAAAGGACCATAAAAGTATACCTACTGGGTTAGAGGAAATTCGTTTACTTATTGATACGAAAGCTGGGTCTGAGGTATATTTTTAAATTTGTTTAATTATTAATATTTTAATTTAAAATGCTAGATATAATTAGAATATTTTATTTATTTGAATTGTATATTTATATTTCAGTTTCAGTGGATACCTTATGCGAGCGATGAAGTGAAAGCTTGCATCCCACCCCACCTTAGTGGGTCATTAGAGGTATGAATATCGGTTATACCTCTTATATGTTATGCTATTATTGAGTGGCATCCAGTTGATCGCGTGCTTCGTTAGTATGGTTGTACGCAATATATTCCTGGAGCACCTAGGAATTTAGACGACGTGCATAACATAGATAGACGAGGAAAGAAAGATATTAACTGGGTGGTGAGACACAGAGATTGGATTGCGCTTTGGGAGAACTGATATACACTGTTGGCCCCTCGACAATATTACGCTTAAACTGGTCATATGGTTACAGATAACTATATGGACTGGTTTAATGAAAATGAGAAGTCGTTTCTACTTTCGGCGGAAGCACGAGGGGTTAACATTCCTAGGCGCCGAGAAAGACGTCAACCGTCTCAATATCATCGTCCCCCGACGCGTGGACAGAGAGAATGCGCTACCGGTTCTGCATCAGTCCCACCACAACATCCTTATCCGTCGATGCCGCAGGGGTACATGCCCAGCCCTCCACTTCATATGCCAAGCCCACCAGTTTATATGCCATCTCCGCAGGGTTACATTCCGAGCCCGCAGGGTTACATTCCTAGCCCGCCAGGTTACATGCCTAGCCCGCAGGATTTTATACCATATGGAGGTGCATATACGACTATGTTTAATGATCCAACATATGGTTCATATGCATCTTATTTGGCTGGTGGTGCTTCTCCGCAGACACCTCAATCTCCATCTGGATCACAGACATCGATGCCAATGTTTCCACAGTTTTCACAGTTCCCGGGGAGCGATGAGATTGTTACTAGCACTCCTCCAGGGTCGTTATTTTATACAGGCCCTTCAGCCCCTTCAGCGTCATCTACACCAAATGAAGAAAATGCTGCTGATGATGATAGTGAAGATGAGGAGACTGAAGAACAAGTTCCACGAAGAAATCCTCCACGAAATAGACAACCACCGCCATGTGGAACTCATTCGAGAAGACGACATCGGTGATCTAGTTGTATTTAATGTTATTTAAATAGTTATATTTCAGAATTTTATGTAATTTGGTTATGTTATTTAAATGTTTCATGGTTGTTACATACATATTTTTAATGTTATTTTTTATTCACATTTAACATTAAATGTTTGATAAATGTTTTTAAAATACAAATTATATTATTCGAAATTTAAAATAAAAATAAAAATAATATTATTCGAAATTAAAATTTAAAATATAAATTATAGTATTCGAAATTTAACATTAAATTTCAACTTAATATTCCAATTGTATTCGAAATTAAAAGTTATATTCCAATCATAGTTCACAATACTTAAATTGAAATTAAATTTATCCATACATATGATTTTATCATTAACATATATATTAAAACGTATACATTAAAATCAACTTATGTTGAGTTAATCAATCGACGGAATAGGCCAAGAGGGGGGTGAATTGGCAATTAAAATTTCGGTGAAAGCTTTTGCAGAAAATTGAAAAGATTTGCACAGCGATTTAGAGTGGTTCGACTTTCTCAATCAAAGTCTTTTCTTTTGAGGACAAAGAGTAACCTTACAAACCCTCAAGAATTATACCCCAAATTCTTGAGAAAAACTCTCTCCCAAAGAGAACAATACAAATTTGCAAACTTACAAGGAAATCCTCACAATGTAGATTGTTTGCACAATTCTAGAACAAAGAAAAGAACACTAAAAAATGAATACAATTGAGCACAATATATGTTCTTGAAAGTAAAATGAATATTGAATGAAAATAGGCTTGAAATGCTCAAACTTGAGGTTTGATGCTTTCTCTTTGATTCTCTCTTGATTCTAGTTGCTTGATGTTTCTTGTTTTTGATCAATGGCTTCTAAGCTTGCTTAAATACACCTTGAATCACTTCTGAACATTAGGGATGATTAATGAAGATAATATAGCCGTTTAAGTGTGAAAACATTTAATAAAAATGCTTGGAGCGTGGGGGGAATCGGTACCCTCTCATAGGGAATCGGTTCCCTAAGTGTAAAATTCAAATATTTCGACCGTTGAATAGGGGGAATCGGTACCCCCTATGGGGGAATCGGTTCCCTCCGAGCATTCTGGAAATCTCGGAGCCAAACCATTCAGGGGGGAATCGGTTCCCTCTGAGCAATCTGTAATTTTTGGCTTTGAAATGGTTCGAAATACTTTGAAAGATTATTTTGAAATTGTTTTAAGATTAAAACTTAATTTTACACTTAAGTAAGGATTAAAAATGATTTTTGAAATATTTGGAGTAATGTTTTGATATTGGAATAATTATATCGAATATACTTAGAAAATCATTTGGAAAATCTTAAAATTCATTTAACTTAATTTGTTATATCGAAATATCAAAATGTTTTCAACAGCTTATGACTTCACATTTATTCGTAAAAACATCTCGATGTTCATTCCATACAATTTCAATGTCACAATCAACTTATCACTTCACATTTATTCAATTTATCCATAACATTTTATCTAATTTATTCAAACTTCACATAATGTTTTAATTTAAGTTATTCTTAACTTGCTGAACTTTCAAAAGAAGTTAAATTTTGGTTATAATTTACCTGATTTACTGATATATCTAGTGTCCCCGAGGGACATGAGTGACATAATAGGGCAATGATAACATATTCTCTGACAAAATAATGGAAGGCGCCCCCCCAGGAACGCGCCTTCAAGTCCCCTGAGAAATAATAGGTACTGATATATCTAGTGTCCCCGAGGGACATGAGTGACATAATAGGGCAATGATAACATATTATCTGACAAAATAATGGAAGGCGCCCCCCCGGGAACGCACCTTCATGTGAATAGTAAAATAATAGGTACTGATATATCTAGTGTCCCCGAGGGACATGAGTGACATAATAGGGCAATGATAACATATTCTCTGACAAAATAATGGAAGGCGCGCCCCCGGGAACGCGCCTTCATGTGAATAGTGAAATAATAGGTACTGATATGTCTAGTGTCTCCGAGGGACATGAGTGACATAATAGGGCAATGATAACATATTCTCTGACAAAATAATGGAAGGCGCGCCCCCGGGAACGCGCCTTCATGTGAATATTAAAAGGTACTGATATATCTAGTGTCCCCGAGGGACATGAGTGACATAATAGGGCAATGATAACATATTCTTGACAAAATAATGGAAGGCGCGCCCCCGGGAACGCGCCTTCATGTGAATAGTACTCCGATTATAGACACTATTATATGCAACATATTATAAACTTATGCATCAATATTTTCGTTAAATATTGATATAAGATGACTAGATTGATAACATTTAAATAATTAACTGATAAAATTAATAGATCGATAATCAAAATCAAAAATAATAATATAACCATAGTGTAATATTATAATTTCATATATTTTTCCTATAACTACAATAAAGTCAAAACTGATTTTCATATATTGTTATATCATATTAATGTAGATAATTCACTCCACCTTTAACACACATTAACAAAATACATTTAATAATTCTTACATTATAATCGAAACACTTTACATAATATATTATTAATTTATAATAATAATAAAAATAAAATATTTATTATTAAACAAAATACGTGGCAGTCGAGCTGGCAAAAGGCACGTCCCCGAGGATACGCCTTCTACACGTAGCATCCAACTCAGCGAAAACACGGACAAAACGCGTTCTCGGGGACGCGCCTTTCGCCATCTCAACAGAAAATGTGTTACTTCGAGAAATATTGATCAAATAATATTAGAAAGGAGATATTAAAGAAAATTAATGTCAGTTATGTCAAATAGCCCGACTTTTAAAGAGCAGCACTGTGAGCGTCAGAAATTGATACAGGTGTACAATGGACATAACACTTGACGCGTAATATAAATTTGGTCAACAATGGCGGTGAACAAATTGACCTTTGCCCCCCCCCCCACCTCAAGTCTGAGAGCAGTTTCCTCGTCGGGATTCAACTTCAATACTCTCCGCTCAAAATTTATAAGATCGAATTTAGCTATTTCCTCCATTGAAATCCAAGATGAACATATATCAGATATCACTGGTTCTTTGGATTCAAGTCTTAGCCGTGGCGGTTTTTCAAGTAAGTTGCCAAGACCTAGCAAAAGAGTTCCTCGATGCTCACAATGCTGCTCGAAACTAAGTTGGCGTTCCCCCCATGAGATGGGACAACGTGTTGGAGGCCTTTGCACTCAATTATTCTCAAGGAAAGATCGATACTTGCACTCCCCAGCGTGCAAGTGTCCCTTCGGGTCAGAATATTGTTTGGGGTGCCGACAAAGATTTTTCAGCGACAGAAGCTGTCAAACTTTGGGTGGATGAAAAACAAGATTACAACTTGGAATCTGGTGTTTGTGCTCCAGGCAGGGCATGCTCTCATTATACCCAGGTAATTTGGATTAATTCAACTCAACTTGGATGTGGTAAAGCTTTATGCAATAATAAGGGAGTTTTCATTGCTTGTTACTATTACCCTATTGGTAATATTCCTGGGAAACGTCAAACTCAAGGGATTGAATTCCTTATACAACCTGTTGTTGCTCCTATAAGTCCTACCGCCATCCCTTACCACCCTCCATCACCCGATACTTTTCCCTCGAAAAAAAGTAAATCCATGGTAGGGTTAGTCATAGGATTGAGTATAGGATCGACCTTTGGGCTAGTTCTACTGATCACTTGCGTCATTTTAAGACAAAAATGGAAGAGAGAAAAGAAATTTGACGACGACCATGTTTTCGATATATTGTTTAACGATGAGTTCAACAATATGATCGGACCAAGGAAATTTTCATTGAATGAATTGGCTAGAGCAACAAGTAACTTCAGCACCGATAACAAGTTGGGTGAGGGAGGGTTTGGTTCTGTTTATAAAGGACTGCTGAGGGACTTGGATACATACGTTGCTGTCAAGAGGGTTTCCAAGGCATCGAAGCAAGGGATTCGGGAATACGCATCGGAAGTGAAGATAATTAGCAGATTGAGGCACAAGAATATGGTGAAACTAATTGGTTGGTGCCACGACAGGGGCGAACTCCTACTCATTTACGAGTTCATGCCGAATGGAAGCTTAGACGCACATCTTTTCAAAGGCAAAAGCTTACTGACATGGGAAACCAGATACAAAATCGTGCAAGACTTGGCATCGGCACTGCTATACCTTCATGAAGAAGGAGATTACTGTGTACTCCATAGGGATATCAAAACCAACAACATCTTGTTAGATTCAAGCTTCAACGCTAAACTCGGAGACTTCGGATTAGCGAGGCTAGTTGATCATTCGAAAGGGTTAAAAAACACTCTTTTAGCCGGCACCATGGGATACATCGCTCCGGAGTGCTTGTCGTCGGGAAAGACTAGTAAGGAATCAGATGTCTATAGTTTTGGAGTAGTGGCATTAGAGATTGCTTGCGGTAGAAGGTCAATTGAACCCAAATTTCAAGACTTCGAGGCTGTATTAGTGCCTTGGGTGTGGAAATTATATGGGGAAGGAAAGGTTCTCGATGTGGCTGACCACAAAATGAGAATGGTGTTCGACCCTAAACAGATGGAATGTTTGGTGATGGTTGGATTGTGGTGCGCCCATCCGAGTCAGGATCAAAGACCATCAATCAGGCAAGTCATTCAATCTCTTCATTTCGAGGCACCATTGCCAAATCTTCCCGGCACAATGCCTATTCCCAGTTATAATACACCTACCGCTCCATGTATCGAATCAAGTAATCCACCTGTGTCTAACATGACTCTCACATTCCCTCGTTAACAAGAATGCTATACAGGTGACGGTCCCTAATATAGCATTAAATTGTGGCAACAAGACAATATAATGTACTATAATGACAGCATCACAATAGAAATTTATAATTCTCCAGTATTTTCTTCCTTTTATCTCGACCTGATTTTGATTATAAAGTTATGGGTTCATTTAAAAATTATTTCTAATCTAAGGTTAGTTCCTTTTTAATAATTAAATTTAAATTATTTAGAGTTAAATTTATTTCTTATTTGTGTCACTTCAATTTATTTCTTATTTGATTCACAAGGATAATTCATTGAGTAGATCAGTAGTAAAAGAAAATGTTATTATCTTAAGAAGATTCGGGTTTAAGTATTTACATTTGTAGGATGTGTATACGTTGTCGATCAAATTAAAAAAATTATAAATATATACTACTTTATAATCATCTTACACTAATAAAAAAATATACTACCGTAATACAAATATAAGCCTTGAAACAAGGGATTTGAAAGTAGGCAACTAACAATAAATCATTAGATTAGGTACATAATAACTAAAACGTTATAGTTAAACCGTCATAATTGGAATATTGTTGATTATATGTGATTGGGAACAGCTTGGATGAAAATTATTAATTCTCTCGACAAAAATAAAATAATAGAATAATAATATATATATAATTATCTTTCACTTAGATATTTAATTAATTTTCTAATAATTAATTATCTCCAGCATGGGCTAACTCATTTGACATATTTATTTATGTTGACGTCATAAATAGAATTGATATATTCCCATTCAATTTATCTCAATTTAACAATTTTAACTTGTAATAAATAATATTAATGACTTCTTAACTTGCTAATAAGGTTAAGATTTAAGGTAAGTATTTAATTGAGTTTAATTAAGTGAATTTTTTTATATTTGTTGAATTTATGAATCATATTTTATTATTTAAATTTTATTTAAAAAAATTAAAATCGCTATTAAATTATTATTATTTAAATGGTTCAAGTTAAAACTTTGTTGGTAATCTAACAAAAATTTCAAATTAATGCACAGAATAGAGAGAAAATATAAAAACTTCTTTCAAATAAAAATTAAAAAAGAGAGAATTTAGTATGATAAACTAGCTTTCATAGTTTATTTGTTTATAGTTTAGATTTAATAAAACTTTAATTAACTCAAGAATTAATTATTATATCATTTTATTTGTTTTGATGATATTTTAAATCATTTTTAAGAATATATATATATATATATATATATATATATATATATATATATAAATTTATGAAAACAAAATTACATTTTAGTAATTCTTTTATAAATTTATGGACTTTTTTAAAAATAAAAATTATTTTAAAATTAATGTTGTGAGAGTTAGTTTGCTCATTTTCAAATTTGACAAGGACCCAAAGGGTATTTACACCCATTTGTTAATCAAATTTTCAGATAACCAAATTATAAAAATTCAATTCAATTTAAAAAATTGAAAAAGTCGATTTGATAAACTTAAAATTTAATTTTTTTACTACGAACAAATATTTAAAATAATACTACTTTTCAAGTAGACAAAAATTATTTTTTTATAAATAAACACTTGAGTTTAATTTAATATTTAAAATACAATGAATAAATGCTTTTGATGCTTCCACATATATATTCTCCTATATTACAATTAAGGGTAAAGTATATAAATTGTTCTTCGACTATAGGACACTGTTTTATTAAATCTCTTAATTATTAAAAGTTATAAAATAATCCTCCAATTATATAGTATTGCTTTGTTAAGTCCCTTGACTATTAAAAGTGACAAAATGATCATCTAACTATTCATTATGTTTCAAACTCATCATTTTCTGTTAAAAGATTGATGGTATTCTGAGTTGACCATTAACATGCTAACTATGATATAATAAAATATGATCCCATAATCTTAAACAACTATGATATCTCGGCCATCATGTTAACTTCCATCTTAGACAACCATTAATTTTTTAACGAAAAATGACCAGTTTGAAACGTAATAAATAGTCATATGGCCATTTTGTAACTTTTAATAGTCTACGGACTTAACAAAGTAACATTCTATAGTCGGATGATCATTTTGTAAGACCCCAATTTTTCAACAAAAATTTTATTGTACTTAATTGGGGGACTAAAATGAATAATTTTGAAGATTTCTTAGTCAATTTTGAAAGTTTGGGAAGTTTAGGGATTAGTCCCCTATTTTTCCCATAACTTATCTGAACACAAAAAAAAAAACCAGAACCCATTTCCCCCCGGGTGTTAGTGAACCTGTGTTATCCCAAACCCCCAATCGAGTCATCCCCGTCGCTCCGTCCGACCGTCGTTCAGCGAGCCATAACCGTCGTTCGACTCACCAGTAGTCGTCCCAAACCCCTCGCAGTGAAACAATGCCTAACGCCGTGAATTTCGACGCAAAGTTTCGTCTGTTTCAACCCCTGTCGCCACGAATTTCCTTGATTTCGGCCGGTCGTACGACCATCTCGTCTCACTGCCCTTCCCATCGAGTTCCCCAACCCCATGCAATCAAACCCCGACTAGATTCATCACCCCACCGTCGCCCGTTTTTCGTCCGTTGTGGTAAGTGATATGGTCATCTTATTTCGTTCAATTCACCGTGTTTTGGATGGGTTTTGATATTTTTTGGTTGAATTGTGGTGAGTGCTTGAACAAGGAGTAATCGACAGCCGTCCCCAGACCCTTCACTATCGTCACGCGCCACCACACGTCACCGCGTGCGCATGGGGATCTCTAACTGGTCCAGAGCATTCTAGAAACGGTCCAATTGGACCGAACCGGCCCAACCCGATCTGTTAACTTTGACTCGACCCATTGACTTTAACCTGACCTGTTGACTTTGACAAAAAAATCAAATCTTTTGAAAAGTCATTTTTTTATGTTTTTTGATGTCCTGAGTCTGAATCTAAAGTCTGTTTTGCCAAATTCACATTCGGTAAGACGTTTTTCAGTTTTTTATCTTCGGATTCAATTTGGTTTTTTAATTAAGTTTAGTTTCTGACCTAAATTAGTTTGCTATGTATCCGAGAAATTTTTGGACGTTGGATTTAAGTTTGAGAGTGATCGAATGGAGTTTGAATGTTTGATCGGAGTAGCATGGAAAACGAGGTAATACATTACTACCTTATGTGTGCTTTATGGAACATGCGGGCATTGGTTGATGCACAGATAAATAAGTTTAGTTACATGTGTATAATTAATAACTCATGTCATATCTGAAATCACAAGTAACTCTGATGCAAATGATTCAGAATACCTTTCTGATTACATAGTGCCTTCGAAAATTATTCGAATACTATATGATCTTGATAAATCACGTCCTGAATAACTGATGAATCCGTCAGCTATCAAACCCTTTTATAGGGATCTCGTTTATGAATTTAATCGGTTTACAGAAGTTTCATGGCTCCCTACCTGATAAATACCAAGTACATTCGGAAAATAACTTGATCCTCTAGTGAGTTCCCTATGTGTTATATAATTGTTTTATCTATTTTGAAATGAGTTTTACCGAGATTTCTGAGTTACTGAAGTTTTAAGCTTGCATGTCTGATTCATGATCTCTGGATACCGTTTTTACTGAATTGATATGTCTGAACTCTGATTTCCTACTACATTGGTTATTATCTGAAAAATGTTTTCTTCGGGGTACTTTGGGATTTAATATGAAGTCTCTGCAGGTTTAGCTCGATCAAATTGGTAATTACTTATATAAGTTCAGACCAATAGAGCTGGTAATTCCTTATGGACTTAAAACGACTCTTGGGTGGGCTCCTTGCCCTAATAGGCCTAGTGGTAAGACCTTATGGACCCTAAGGCACTCCCTTAGAGTGACTCCTCTGCTATGTGCATTGGGTAAGTCCTTATGGGCCTGAGGGCACTCCCCTCAGGTGAGCACCTACGCTTCGGCTAGGGTAAGACCTTATGGACCCAAGGTGCTCCCTTAGGTTGGCACCTATGCCCTTTGGGCCTAGGATAAGTCCTTATGGATGCAGTTCCGGTGAACTGCATATTGGCGTTCGGTTGGAAGGTTTTACTATGATTTTAAAAATATGTTTTAAACCGTTATTGTTTTAAAAAGATTTGTATCTTTTCACTAGTTTTGTGGGAACACACCAAACACCCTATTCTGACCTCCTAAACCTAGTCCTCCGAACGTTTCCTCTGAACTGTAAGCTTCATGTCTTTTACTACCTTAAATATTAGTGGGACCTCAGCTCATCGCAAAATTCTGTAGATGTCTGAATCAATAAGGAAAATTTTGCTTGACTATTATCTGCATGTCCTTCAGCATCAGTTTGTAGTTCTGTATTACTGAGCTTCCCGAAGCTCACTCTTTTACCCTCCATTTCAGGTTAAAAGAATTGAATCAGTGTAGCTATCGACATCGGTATAGGAGTTCCACCAGCGTTACATGCAGAGTACGGTGCATGTGATTAGAGGGCATGTAGGTTGTAATATGTTTTTATATCCGAGTTTGAAACCTGTTTTGTTTATGGATATTGTTAATTTCTACTTTTAATATATAAATTGTTTAATGGTTTTACACGTTTTAACAAAAAAATTTAAAATTTTCCTGGATTTTTACTGTGGGTCGCTCCCGTGGCCCTAATGTAACACCTCGGATCGGGTCTCCTGCATTGGTCTGTGGGTGTTACACGTTTTGTAACTTTTAATAATCGAAAGACTTAATAAAATAATACCCTATAGTCGAGGGACTATTTGTGTACTTTACCCTACAATTAATAATTTATTCCTATAATTTATTCTCACGTCATTTTTAAATTGTGGCAAAAGGATCTTTTTTATAGTAATTAATCAAATAGAAAACATTGAAAAATGGGAAAACTTCAACCACCATAGAACGTTTCTATATTTTATTCATTGCAAATGGTTTCAGTTCAATAATCTCCCCCTTTCCAAAAAAAAAAAAAAACACCTTGAACCCTGAAAATGAAGCCTCCATTGCCACCTTCTTCAACCTCTTTAGTTCTGAGAAAGCCTCGTCTTTCTCCTTACTTTTACACCTTGTTAAC